AGGTTAAGGGTGTCTTAATTACAGTCTATAAGTATCTACATGGGGAACAAATCTTTAATAATTGGCTCTTCAACCTAGCAGAGAAAGGTCTAATACAAACCAATGGCTGGAAGCTGAAGCTAACAAATTCAGACAGGAAATAAGGCTTAAATTTTTAACAGTGAGTGTAATTAAGCACTGGAACAATTACCAAGAGTCATGGTGGATTCTCCATCACTGACAATTTTTAAATCAAGATTCAACACTTTTCTAAACCATCTACTCTAGGAATTATTTTGGGGAAATTCTATGGCCTGTGTTATACAAGAAGTCAGATTAGATTATCACAATGAATAGGTACTGGAACTAGGGGTGCTGCCGTACACCCTGGCTTGAAGTGGTTTCCATCATATGCAGGGTTTACAGTTTGGTTCAATGGCTCTTAGCACCACCATTATACAAATTGTTCCAGCACCCCATCACAATGATCCCTTCTGGCCCTGGAGACTATGAAACTAGAAGGTAGATAGGGAGACCAGAAACTCCCAGTCCATAATGCAAGAATAAGTGACATTCAATGAAGTTGAAAGGCAGCAAACTCAAAAGTGACAAAAGGAAACATTTTTTCAAGTATATTATACAATGTACAATTAGTCTGTAGAGTTCATTGCCACATGATATAGATTAAAAGATATGCAGCTTTTACTACCTGAAGGGACCATTATAATCATCTAGCCTGACCTGATGTACAATATAGGCCAGAATCTCTGGTTGAACAAGAGCATATCTCAGAAAGACAACTGATCTTGACTTAAAGATTTCAAGTAATGGAAAGTCAACTACATCCCTAGACAAATTGTTCCAATGGTTAATTTCCCTCACTTCTAAACATTTGCACATTATTTCCAATCTGAATTTGTCTAGCTTCAACTTGCAGCCATTGGATCTTGTTATGCTTCTGGTACTGAGGCCAAGAGCTTAGCCAGACAGAAAAAGGGAGAAGACATTCATAAGAATACAAAGAATATCCAGAGTTATACCCATAAATATTTTTTTTAAATAAACAAGAGTTTTGGAAGGAATATTAAACCCTTCTGTTTCAGACCATAAGCCAACTCTGACTATTGAAAGTTAGGAAGAAACTTATCCCATAGTCATCTACTAGGGTTTCTTGCACCTTCCTAAGACGCATCTAGTACTAGCCACTGTCAGTGACTCAAAACTGGACTAGAGGGACCATGGATCCGAGCCAGTTTGATAATTTCTAAGAGGTGATAATATCACTCCATAGTGACAAAGCCATATACGTTACAGAAAAACTACTTCTGGAATATTTTAGAGTTTTAAAATATTTATCAGGACTACTTTTGTATTCTTCTGATTGTGTAACCAAAAACACTTATTACCATGGCCCTGATTCTGCATTTTTTACTTCAATGGGTACAGAATTGGGCCCAATACTTGAACCACAGAGGGGCTCAGATGAAGCCTTTAAAAATCTCTACAAATTATTTGCTTTTCTGTACCTAAAAGTGCCATGACTTTAGAGTTTGTTACCATTGGGAAGTTCCAGGGTAGGAAATAAGTACTATATGTTCCACTGAGAAGCTGGGAATATCTTCTTTTCAATGGGATAGAGCTCTAATTTCTAGCCCTGCAAGACTGCTAGATATACTTGTCTTTAAAATCAGCACATTTTTATGTACAGAAGTCCAACACTGCTGCAGGACTGGATCTTCCTGTCCTGACCCTCAGCCTTTCACAATTTTGTGAGGGAAATTCCACATCTCAAGGAGAAGGTCTGAAAGAAACATTTCACTGTCCAGTTGAGATTTTGTTTGTTTTTTAAATGGCAGCTGTTTGAAGCTGTTCAGCAGTTTGGAGTGTTAAAACATGTCCTGGGGAGATAGAGTGATGGGGAGAGGCCAGCTGAAGAGGGCAAAGATGAATGACAAATTTATTTCTCACATGATTGGAATTTATGACATGGACATCACCTCCATACCAACCATAAAAGTAGAATAAAGATCCCATCAACCACCTTGTCCTTTGGCTCAGGGCTAACTTCATTTTAAAAGAAGAGCAACTCAAAATACTGGTACTAACACACACACCCTCCCTCTGCCTCCACACCCCCAAGCCTTCCCCAGTTCCCACTGGCTGGGACAGAAGAGGCCATACCCTTCCTGCTATGTAAAGATCCACACCTGAACTTTCCTGACCCTGAGTCTCTCACGCCCACTGTCCCTGTGTAGAAGGCAGAAAGCCTTCTATATGGCTTCCTGTTGGTCACAGGCTCCCTCTAGTCACAGAACTGCAACTACTGCTCTCACTTTTAAAGGGCTATTAACAGGGCTGGATTTACAGGTTACACGCCCCTAGGCACAGCACCTTCAACGCTCCCGCTCCCCCTCCCCCGCCTACAGCTGACCTTCCTGTTGCACGTCGTTTTAGAGAGGTAAGGTGCCCCTAGACACGTGCCTACTGTTCCTAACTGGAAATCCAGCCCTGGCTATTATAGGCATGCTAGAATGCACAATGCACCCGGAGACCCAAGGCCCTGTGACAGTATACTGGTTGTTTACAAAAGAACTAAAACAGAAGTGGCCTTCCATGAACGTTGGCCTGCAAGATGAGGCACTGTGGACACCATGGTGATGGACATGGTATAGCAATGCACTAATGCAGAGAGAGCAAGAGACAGAAAAAGAGATGACAGGAGGCAGGATAAGGGGTGGAGAAGGCAACAGCTGATTGGGGTTGCTGCCAGCAGTAGAGTGAGCTGGCAGGTGGCTCAATGCTTGCATTCCCCCACCCCCAACCCAAGGTCTTGTCCCTGCCGTTTGAGCTACCCTCACAGCTGCCATTTTTTTCAGCACTACAGCTGCTCACAAAGGCCAAAGCATTTTTCAATGGAGTAAGTGTATGTTTTCCAGTCTCCACTCATTCAAAAATGGTTGAACCATTTCCCCTAAAACTTCTAAATAGTTCACCTTCAGGCAGACAAGGTCTGGAAAATGGCAGCTCCTACAGTGAATATTTCAGGGTTACAAGTAACTCAGAGCAGCATTTAGGATGGAAATTCTGGGGCATCCTCCACTATAGCTGTTGCCAGTGCTCCAGCAATAATGTAAATAAATAAGAATACTCCAAAACAAGCAAAAATTGCCTGATCTCAGTTTTGTTTTGACAGATTATGAATTTCATGACTGCTGCATTTGAGCAATCATTCATGAGTTTGGAGGTAAATTAGAAATGTCTGTTTGATGATTCTTTTGAAATGAAATCTAACTGCAACTACATGAGCAAACAGGAATTAACAGAATGTTTGCTGAAACCTCAAAGTTCTAGTTTTTATGTACTTTCCCATTCCAGATCCTATAAAGTTCTGCTAGAAAGCTTTCAGTATTGTTCAGTTTCATGGTTGAGGAATTTGCCCAAAATCCACCCGTTATTGCATATTTGTCAAAGAGAATCTATACTTTTATTTTTTTTTAAATGGGCCATATTGTGGTGTAAAATGGCATAGCTTCATTGATGTCAATGAAGCTATGCTAATTTACACTAACTGACAATTTAGCCCACTATGTGCAAAGAATCTTAAAAACTTACTGCCTATAAGCTTGTAAACCACTAAAATGTTGCCTTCCTAAATCTGCAAAAAGCCTGAAACAGTAGCAATGAGAGATGTTAAACTCTCATCACTGGGCTTCACATTAACTGTCAACATTGTTAAATGTTTCATGGATGATGTGAGGAAAGGTGGGCCTGTGGTTAAGTCAGTTTCAGGAGAACTAGGCTCAATTCTTGGCTTGCCACAGATTTCTTGTGTGACTCTCTGCAAGGGTATGTCTCGGCTACAGTGGCACAGATGCATCTTACATTGTTGGAAGGGGGTTTCCATCCACACAGGTAATTCACCTCTCCGAGACAGAATTATTCTATTGACCTAAATGCATCTACAGTGGGGATCAGACTGACCTAACTACATTGCACAGAGGGTGGATTTTTTCACAGCCCTGAGCAATGTAGCTAGGTTGACCTAAGATTTAGAGGTAGACCAGGCCTTAGTCATTTAATCTCTGTCTCATTTCCCATTTTTAAAATAAGAACAGTACTTCCTTTTACCCACCTTTTGTCTGCCTCAAGTATTTAAATTGTATAAAAAATGTATAATGTGTCTACACAGTGCCTAGCATTGACCTCAGCTGGGCCTCTGGACATATTATAATGCAGATAATAATAATTATTTTACATCTTGACAGACCTATAGATGTAAGAATCTTCATACTAAGAGATTTGGAATCTGAATGAGGTATGGGCAAACAGCAGCTGAAGTGGCCAAAAGAACTACCCTGTGGAGCTGGAAATCAACAAGCACATTAAGATTTGCAGAATTATATGATGTGACCTGGCAAATGCAGGAAAAAATAATGCATAACACAAGAGCGGTGCCTGAGGATTTGGAGGAGAACAGTCTTATCTTTGGGTCTGATCCTGCAAACAATTTTCCACATGCTTAACTTTGCTCACATGAGTAGTCCAATGTGGGACTAAGTATGTGTTTAAGTTTTTGCAGGATTAAGGCCTACAAGATTATTTATTTTCTGACTAACATTTTTCATTATTTTATTTCCTATTTTCTCCAGTCTTAAACTGAACTCTTAACAGTATATTTAATGTGTATCTAGGGTACCACCTCTACTGTCTTATCTCCATTTCCTTTTCTTTTTTTCTTAAAAACCTCAAAGAATAATATTTGTAAATGAAAGAGAGGATTATTTCCTATAGTAAAGACTCTCATAAATTAGAGATGGGTGAGAGCTACTGAACTGAGTCATTGAGTTTGTCCTCCTCCAAGGAAGAGTGTTTCCCCGCCATGTATTCTTAAGTGCTTTGGTCATCCTACTCTATCAATGGAGCTTCCACTAGTTCTCCACTGAGATGGCTCCACAGCCCAATACATCACACTGAGGAGATTTTTCCTGATTCAGCTAATTGTACCATTTCCCATGTCATACCTTCATCGGTCTCTTCAGGGCTTCCTGAATGTCCACCCGCTTCCTCATAATGGTCTGGTCCAGTTTGCGTTCAAAGGCTAACAGGTCCATGTAGGCCTGGGACTCAGGAACCAACTCCCGGATCTGAGGAGGAAGCAGGGAATATCCAAACACTGGAGGCGAGGAATTCATCATATTCCAGGAACAGTAATACTTATATCTGTCTAGACCTTAGAGAGAGGGTTTGCTTAGCAGAAGTGATTGTCTCTAGGCAATACAAAGCATTTTAGATTTGTCTTTGATTGAATTAGGGTCTCTCTACACTAGAAGAAAAGCATTTTTAAAAACAACTGTGTTTTTAAACCTTACACTTTTTAAAACCTTGGTATACACGGGGCAAGTTGTATGTTAACGTGTTAGCCGGCTGAGATGAAGCCTAGGCTCCCCCAGAGGCTTCAATATGACCAGCTAACAGGTGTTAACATGCAACTTGTCCTGTCTATACTATGGCTAGCTATACTAGCTAACACATTTTTTTAAAACATCTCTTTTCCTAGTCTAGAAAAGCTCTAAGAGGAGCTGGCAAGGAGTAGGGCATGAAGAGAGGGAGACAGGAAAGAGGGACACAGGAAAAGAGAAAGAGAGAGATTTGAACAAATGAGCTGGATACTTGGCAGGGATCCTCCCCTTAGGCTGCAGAGCTGACAACTGGAACTGGTTCCACATGTCCTTCAGCAGAACTCTTGTAGCAGTTCCTCACTCTCTGCCTACATATGGTCCCCATTCCATGCTACTGCACAGGGGACTCCATGGAGCGCATGGAGTATGCAACACCCCACACCCAACCTCCCCACTTGATAAGAAGAACCTGGTTCCATAGGCACATGATTTGCCTCCTGGGATATGTTCTACACTGGGAAAATGCATCATCAGAAAACGTGTAAGCTAACATGCTGTTAAACATGACTTAGCACCTAGTATAGACAAGGAAGAGTCGTGTTTTAAAATTTGTTCACTGGACCCTATGATTAACCATGACCAGCGAATATGTTTTTAAACTTGACTAGCCCTTCTTATACTAGATGTTAAGTTGTGTTTAACATCACATTAGTCAGCACATTTTCTAATATGATGTATTTTCCCAGTGTAGAAATACTCTTAAAGCTAGGAGATTGGTCACAGACTATCTACTCCTGGCAATACCTGATTTGTGGATAATTGTGAGGCAGGTAGCGTTTTAAGACTTGTCTACACTTGGAGCTGTTTCTGATTAGTTTAACCCAACTGGTTTGGCACAGTTAAACAGGAACAAGGCACTCTTATTCTTGAATAAGTGTGTCCAGACACGGAGTTAATTAGGAACAATTATTCAGAAACAACTCCATGTGCAGACGAGCCCAAAGAGGAAATGGATTACAAACAATTCCTAGCCTAGTCTCTCTTGAGTCTCCTTGTCCATTTCTAATACTCACCCCAGCTCTCAACTAAGCAGCAAAAATATTTAACAGCTAAAATATTTCTGTACTACAGCAGTAAAGGTAACTTGACCATATTTGCCACCTGTTATTGTTTATAATCTGGGGTATACAGTTTGGATTTAGTACATTGCACAAATAGAGGGGAAATGGATAGCATGGGCTTAGAAGGCATTACTACCAGGCCAACTTCCTCAGGGGTGTATACATGACTGCACTTTCTGACAGGTGTTTCAGCATACAAGATATCTGGTACAAACAGGTTCACTTCACAGGAAATAACTCCTGCCTTTGCCTGGTTCAGGCCTCCAATCAGTTGCTGTTACAGAACCTCCATAGCAAAGACCGGACTGTGCTATTAACCTTGCCCAAACCTTTATTTCTGCCATTCCTCTAGTTCCAGGCCAGCTCATCATTCCAGGTCTTGCAATGCAGGAAAACACTCATTAATTCAGGCATTCAAGTCATATGTTCCACAAACCCTGGCATCCCCTCATCCATCCTGTGCCCATTGTTTGTTTGGAGCTGAGCCCTGAGTCTCCCTAATTTATTCCCTTGCAGTGTATGTGATGTGGGGCAGAGCCCCATGACTTGCTAGTAAGGTCTGGAGCCAGAGAAGTACCTTTTCTTTGTCCCATTAAACTCCATTCATGTTTAGCTGTGATATAAACTACTTAAAATTGTCATTTCTCTTATCTGACATTCTTCAGGAAAATGTTAGGAACACATAAATAATAATTGAACATGAACATTCTAATGAGCCAAACCCACTCCACCACAGCAGCAGCACATACTGCACTGGGAACACCCAGGAGCTTCATCAATGATTTAGATAATGACATGGAGAGTACACTTATAAAGTCTGTGGATGATACCAAGCTGGGAGGGGTTGCAAGTGCTTTGGAGAATACAAAAAGATCTATGAGAGAAGATTGAAAAAACAGGGTTTGTTTAGTCTGGAGAAGAGAAGACTGTGAGGGGACATAACAGTTTTCATGCACATAAAAGGCTGTTACAAGAAGGAGGAAAAAAATTGTTCTCCTTAATCTCTGAGGCATAGGCGATGCCAGGGGGATTCAGGGTCCAGGGGAGGCAGCAGGGACCAGGGGCGAAGGGAAGGAGCGGGGATCTGGGCCGCCGTGGTCAAGAGAGTGTTGCTGGACGGTGCCTTGGCAGTCACCAGGAAGTTGACCGTGACTGTGGTGGCAAGGAGGGAGGCTCCCATTGTGCCTCCCCCATCAGTAGTTACCAGTCGCCTACACGCTGAGGACAGGACTAGGAGCAATAGGCTTAAATTGCAGCAAAGGTGGTTTAGGTTGGACATTAGAAAAAACTTCCTGTCAAGGTGGTTAAGCACTGGAATAAATTGCCTAGGGAGATTGTGGGATCTCCATCATTGGAGATTTTTAAGATCAGGTTAGACAAACACCTGTCATGGATGGTCTAGATAATACTTTGTTCTGCCATGAATGCAGGGGACTGGACTAGATAATCTATCGAGGTCCCTTCCAGTCCTACAATTCTATGATTCTATGATACAGGAGCCTGACTTCATAAACCCATATCATGTGGGCTTAAATCAAGACTGGATGTATTTCTAAAATATATGTTCTAGTTCAAAGAGGAATTATTTTGTGGAAATTCTATGGCCTGTGTTATGCAGGAGGGCAGATTAGAGGAGCACAGTGGTTCCTTCTGGGTTTAGAATCTATCATTTTAGAATTGGGACTGACACGCTCTTTCAGCCCCTAAACATTATATCCGATATCAGAGAAAGCCTAGGGCCTGGACATCCCGAGTCAATCCTCCACCTCTGTGTCTGATAGTGGGAGCAATGCCTGGTACCTCTTGCACCGTATCTACCATGAGGATTGAACCCTAGGACCCCAATCCATTTACCTATATGATGAAGCTGTAGTATCTTGAATACTGCGTGCAGATGTGGATGTCCGTCTCAAAAAAGATATATTGGAATTGGAAAAGGTTCAGAAATGGCAACAAAAATGATTAGGCACATGGAACAGCTTCCATATGTGGAGAGATTAATAAGACTGGAACTTTTCAGCTTGGAAAAGGAATGACTAAGGGGGGATATGATAGAGGTTTATAAAATCATGACTGGTATGGAGAAAGTAAATAAAGAAGTGTTATTTACTCCTTCTCATAACACAAGAACTAGGGGTCACCAAATAAAATTAATAGGCAGCAGATTTAAAACAAAAAAAATATTTCTTCACACTATGCACAGTCAACCTGTGGAACTCTTTGCTAGAGGATGTTGTGAAGACCAAGATTATAACAGGCTTCAAAAAAGAACTAGATAAATTCATGGTGGATAGGTCCATCAATGGCTATTAGCCAGGATAAGAAGGGATGGTGTCCTTAGCCTCTGTTTGCCAGAAGCTCGGAATAGGTGACCGGGGATGGATCACTTGATGATTATCTGTTCTGTTCATTCCCTCTGAAGCACCTGGCATTGGCCACTGTCAGAAGACAGGATACGGGGCTAGATGGATCTTTGGTCTTACCCAGTATGGCTGTTCTTATGTTCTTATATAGCTCTGTGACAGAATTATCTCTCAGATATTCTGTAGAAGCCCCGTTAGACCTGCTTTACCTATCTATTTCTGTCATGTCTGTTACCTTAGTATAAATGTTATAATGTGTTCTTCGACATTCAGGTACTGAAACACCCACTAGATTATAACAAGTCTGAATGCAAAATCTAATCCATTTTGACAATCTGAGCAGCAGATGTTTCTTTCCTCGATTTACTACTATAAACTACAAAAAGACTGGGAAGGCTTATAAATTTTGTTCTACCTAGACAGTCACTGAGAACTCCTCTGACATCTAGTTTATGTTACATTTAGAATATGTAGCTTCTCCTGGTACAATATGGGATTTTGAAAAAAAGTATAGGGAAGTTAACAGATTTTAATGGAAGTCTTGAGCAGGAATTTAGGAGGTGGATGCAATATTATGTTCACCCCGCAAAGGAGTATCCGTCATCAGGATTTATAATTCACTGTCTCTGCCATATGCTTCACAAGGAAGTGGACTAGGAAGTATGCTTTAGGATCTCCATACACTCATTCCAGAAGTTTTGTGGGCACACAATTTAAGCTCAAAGGTGATGGAAGCTTATAAACAGATGAAAATCCATGCAAGATTTCTTAAAAACCTTTTTACCACTGGGTATGCAAAAACTGAAGCTCTGGGAATAGAAGCATGATGAGCTGGTATAACACAGCTGCCAGATTAACTTTAGTAATACAGTACAACCGAATCTCTTCTTAAAACTCCCCTTTGCCATGATAACTACAAAACAGCTTGACAACAGTTAGGCAGCTGGTCTGCTGAGACCACATCCTATCAAGCTGATCAATAGTGCCTCATTGTAGCCTTGTGCTCCTCATCTCTCTGTATCCACCTGCTGTCTCTTGTCTTAAGAGTGTAATCTCTCTGGGACAGGGACCAGCTCTCTGTTCTGTCCTTGTTCAGGGTAGTGGTCCAGGACTGGGACTCCTAAGCATCATCATATCAAGTACTCAAAATAGATCCAGATTCTTTTAGAATCAAACAACAGACCAGAGTATTAGGGACTATAGCAGCCAAAGATGAAATACTTTTGACAGAGATTCATGTGGAAAAATCTTTTCCACTTCA